TTTATTTTATTCTTAATTATATTGACTGTGTCCTTTGACAACTACACTTCCTAAGATTTTAAATAATAATCCTGATCACACTGATATTCCCAACATTTCAACACACGGAACCACTGTAGCCTTGATAATGGGCCATTGTATTGCTCTGTTGTCATTGTATATTTTTTGTAATTATTAGCCGGCTCATCACTATATGAAATTAAAAACGCTATTTTTTTTTAAATAAACGTTACGTTATGATTGAAATCGTAAATGTATAGTATTCTTCCCAAAATAAACTCAGAGATGCCAACTGCTCCGGACACGCCACAGTAATTAAAAATACGGTAAATTACTACAAAGTAAATTTTGCTAATATTTGACTAATTTTGTTTGCTTTTCAAAATATATAGCATGGCGTAAGTACCACAAAGTGGTGAATTATATAAACCTACGAATTATTTGGAAATAGTGGTGGATATAAATCTACTCAATTGAATTTATTAAATCAAGAATCACAATTGATAAAGTACCACTTTAAAATATATATTTTCTGTCCGGAGCAAGTTGGCATCTCTGTAAACTGTTGAACATACCAACTGTCCTTTATTTTATTCCGAATTATTTCGACTGTTTCTCTGACTACAAAACTTCGTAAGATTTTGAACAATAATCGGGATCACACAGATAATCCCTTCTCGTCAACGTACAGAGCGACTGTAGCCTTGACAATGGGTCATCGTATTGCGCTGTAGTCACAGTATAGTTATTGGCTGGCTTATTATTGTTTGAAATCAAAGGGCTAATTTTTTATAAAGTTGAGTCGAGCTTAAGTATTCTGACAAAATAAACTTTTGAACTTACCCGTTGTAATTTATTTTATTCCTAATTATTTTGACTGTTTCCTGTGACAGCAACTCATCGCAAGATTTTGAACAATAATCTGGATCACATAGATAATCCCAACACGTCAGGTAGGCGTACTTTAAAGATTCAGTTATTAAATGAATATAGTCTGCAGAGTTATGACCTAAAGCTGAAAGGGAAATACTTTTAATTGTTCTAAGAAAGTTGAAAAAGTTTCCTGTCAAGTGAGCAAAAATTAATTAATTAAAGAAAATAGGAAAAATGAATATCCTGTATGATTTTTGATCTAATGATGGGAATTTCAGGTACTAGGACTCAATCCTAATTCTTCCAAGGCATAACCTTTAGCACGTTAATTAATTTATGCAAAGTATATTTTAAGTTAAAAAATCAAGCACAATAAAGGATTTCGGAAAGTAGTTCTTGTAGACATAGATTGAGTCCTAGTACGTGAAGATCCGATCATTAGATTAAAAGTTATTCATAATTTCTCTTTGATTTTAGAATAAAAATTATAAGACATAATAAGTAGGGAACGCATTTTTTGTTACATTTATACGAGTTCTTGATCTTACCTAATTCGGGTGTGGGGATTTTAAATCTGAAATTAGTTTTATTCAGAAAGCTGCATGTTTTTTTTTCTTCAGAATAATATTTTTAGTCTAGTTCTAGTTTTATTAAATTTTTAGTTTACTTTTTTTTTGTCTGATTGTACAATTTTAAAAAGCCAGGCTCGTGCATCACTGTCATAGCCGCAGATAAGGATTCTTCTCGCTAATCTCAAAACATCAAAGAATGTGAATTCTATTTCCCACAGAGATTTGTAAATTGTCTCTATCCATAAAACATAACCCACCGTATCTTATGGATTAAGTTCTAATTCACCATTTATAAAACGTGTATTTTTCTCCGTCATCTTAATTACAAATCAATATAGTTAAACTAAATTGGTGAAACCGCTCACTTGATGCGATTGGCAACGTATGATTACAATTGAATAATGAAGTGATTGTGCACCAGGTTGCATAATGGAATAACTAAATGGAATAAGTCATACCTTTTAGATCGTACGTTTTAAGAACATTTAATGAAACCAAGGCGATTAGTCCCATGGTATTTGGTCTCATTTCCCAGACTCTAAAACCGTGAAAATCTATACTAAGTGCATCAGAAGGCACAGGTATTGGAGGATGTGTCAGATGATCTTTCATGTCTTCAGCTGTCAGTGTACCTCCGTTTCTTTGAACTT